GGCAGCGAGCCGGCAGGCACCCCGAAGATGCCCAGAGCTCGAAGTGCCCGGGGACAGCTGCTGTCGGGGGGTTCAGCGGGGTGGGAGCCTGCGGTCCCGTGGACCAGAGCACCCTGTGCCATGGGGTGTCCCTCAACCTATGAACCCTGTTGGTGTTGGGGCTCCTATGCCCGCCTGGCCAAAGTGGTGCCAAGGGGCTGTCCCTCATGGTGCCCCTGGCCAAGCTGGGCCGGTGGCTGCAGCTGAAATGGGGGCCAGGAGTTTTCCTTCTACCTTTCTCCCCAAGGATGGCTGTTTTTGGGGGCCGCACGGGGTAGCCCCAGGTTCCCTGGGAACAGGAGGGACTGTGGGGCAAGGCTGGCACTGGCCAGGCTGCGTGGACCCCAGGAGAGACGGGCAGGGAGACCACACCGTCGCCTGACCCAACGTGGCCAAGGGAGAGTGCCGGGTGGTGGGGTCTTCAATGCCGAGGTGGCACCCCCCAGCTGAGTCCCCTCTGGTGCTCGCAGCCGGCCAGCGAGCTCGGTGGCTGGGCACCACTGTTCCTGGGGCAGGGTACCGAGGAAGACGTTTTGGAGAGGTTGCAGGTGCCCCGTCTTCATGCGCATGGAGTGGCCAGGAGTGCCCAGGCAAGGGTGGGCTGCGGGCCACCGTGGTCCCAGGGGACAGCGAGGCTCTCTTGGGACTGCTGAACCCGCTGCCGTGCCTGCTGGGCACGCCATGGGGCTCCTCGATGATCCCTCCTGCCAGGCACGGGGGTCCCAGCAAGCACCGGCCAAGGTGTTGGAGCAGGATGGGCATGGAGACAATGGACAGACAGACGAACAGGGCTGTGGATGGAGACTCTGCGGCCAAATGGCTGCTTCTTCTTGGCTTCTGGGTTTCTAGTTAAAAAGGCTGAGGGGAGCCGAGGGGAGGAGACGGGGCAGGCCCGTGCCCCAGCCCGCTGTGCGTCTTGCTCCCCGCGCCGCGAGGATGGCCGGGCTGGAGCGTCCTCGAGTCTCTGAACTAGCGGGGCAGGCGCGGAGCAGCTGCCGCGGGGGCTGCGCGCCGGGTTCGAGCATGACCCGACCCGACGACCTGCCCCGAAATCCGAGGCCGTCGCTCTTGTCCGTGTCCCACCGTGGCGAGGAGCGAGGTCCCCTAGATGTGTCTCTCTGCTGGCGCTCGCAGGGAGAAGGGCAGCTCTCCGGAGGGCTTTGGTAGCTCAGGTTGTACATCCAGACGTCGGTTAGCAGGTGAAGTCCTCAAAGGTGCCCCGGGCTGGGTGATGAGGTAGGATGTTGGCTGCGTACGTCATGCCTGCCGGGTGGCCCCGTATGCTTTCACAGGGATTCTGCGGGGCAGAGGATGGACGGGATGCTGGGGTCACTGGTTTCACCCAGACCCCCACAGAGAGTGAGCCCTGTCTCCCCGCAGGTGCCTCTGCTCCTTTCCCAAGTGGTCCCCGCAATGGTGACCCCCCTCACCCCACGACACATCTGGGGCAGCCTCCGAGCTGCAAGAGGGGACCAGCAGCTCCCATGGCATGCCCGGCACTTACATGGCGTTTCACGTCGTCCATGCTCAGCGCGACGCCCTTGTCCGTGTTGTTCCTCTTGTGGTTCTTGCGGCACTTGCCCCGCCGGCACAGCCGGTGCTTTATCACCTGCGAGAGCCAGATTTCAGTACTGTGGGGGCTCATGGGCGACTCTTCCCTGTGTCCCACATGAGCATTTCAGTGCTCCAGGATAACCTGGGACCCCTGGCAGCCGTGGGACGGCAGAGACACTCACCTCGTAGGCGTAGTCGAACAGCTCCAGTACTGTGAGGATACTGGCCCCAATGAACAGCCCCATCTGCCCTCCAATGTCACCTGCAGAGGAGAGGGAAGCCATCAGGGTGGCGCGAGTCGGCGTCCAGTGGCAGAGGGAGCAGAGAAAGGGCAGAACTTGTCACCGCTGGTGTCACCAGCAGGGTGCCCCGCTCTGCATCCACGCAGTTGGCACACCCCGGTGCCTCAGGAACAGGGCCATGGTGCACGGGGCCAGCATGAGACCACCCTGTTGGAGGATGCCGGCTGGGCACTGCTGCAGGGCCCCCGGCACAGCCACCAACACTCACCCAGCAAGCCAGCCACCTCGTACGCCTTCTTCTGCTCGATTGTCTCGTAGTTCAGGGCTTCAAAGAAGATATCCAGCACCAGGATGTTCTCCCTGTGCAGGACATAAATGGCGTCAGGCTGAGATTTGGGATGGAGGGACAAGATACCGCCCCATCACCGTGGCCGCAGCACATTACCCAATGTACTGCTCCGACTTGTTGTACTTCTTGGCCAAGTACTTGGCAGAGGCCTTGCTGGGGATCTTCACCATGGAGAGCTCTTTGCCGTAGCGGGTCACGTTGCAGGGCATCTCGCAGACGCAGTACTCATTGTCCTTCTCCACCAGGAAATCTGGGCAGGGAGAGAGGGAGATGGAGAGATGGAGAAACCCAAGACCCACAGCTCAGATCCACAGAGCCGGGCAGCCTCACCTAAGGCTGGATCCGCACACTCCTTGTACTGCTCCGGGGTGCAGTAAGGGGCATCGCCTGGAGGAGAGAGAAAGCAGGTTTTCCCCGTGGGACTGTCTCGGTGGGCTGAGCCTGGCGGGGGCCGGACCCTGCCACGCGTGGGGCTCACCCGGCATGTGCACCATGCGGCAGTTGCAGTTCTCCACCAGGTAGCGGGTCTCGCAGTCGATGCGGCAGGCAGTGATGCTGTAGGTGTCGTAAAACTCCGAGTCGCCTGCCACGGCCTTGCAGTCGCCCCAGGGAGGCGGCAGGTAGATGAGCTAGGAGGGGGCAGAAGCCAGGAGTGAGAAGAGAAGCTCACCGGCCCCCGGCATGGTGGGGGGACAAACACCCTCGCTGCACTGGTCCCCAGGGCCGGGTCCCCCTCTCCATCTGACATGGGGGCAGGGGACAGGGGCACGAGGAGGAGGCTCAGCGTCCCACAGCGGGTCTAGCCCACAGCGCAGGGTGGGAGGGAGCACCCCAGACCCCCCCCAGTCCCTACCCGCTGCTCCTGGCAGGACACGAAGGTCTGGAAGCCGGGAGCCACTCCGAAGCCCAGCTGGTCAATCAGCGGGGGCTCGTCCTGGCTGTGGATCTGCACCTTGATCCCGGCTTCGAACGAGGTCTCGTCTGCGGCAGAGAGAAGCGGGGTGAGCATGGTGCTGTACCCTGCTCTGCAGGGCTGCGCCGAGCCCTGCTGCAAGAGGGACCAAAACTTCTCCTGTCTCCCACCCTTCCCCTGGGCAAATTCATTTGTTCACATGTCCATCCATCCATCCATCTGTTTGCTACGCCATGTCCTTGTCCCCTCCGCCTCTGACCCTCCTGCTCCAGCACCCGGGGAGAGCAGCAGGGAAAGTGTTTGCCTCTATTTATAAACAAGTGATGGCTGCTTGTCTAAACCGATGGGGAGTTGCCATGGCAAAGAGCAAAGACAAGGAGGAAAAAGGAAAGAAAAGGACCCGAAGTAATGAGAAATGGAAGGAGGGAAGAGGAGGGAGCCTGAGGGATGTGGACCCGTGGGGTGGGGAGCTGGGAAGGGGCTGGGAAGCACCCTGGGAGCTGCTGGTGACCAAGCGGACCTGCTGGCAGAGCCGCTGGGGCAGCGGGTTACCTGTTTCCCCCCACACTGGCAGGTACTCGTCCTGCTGAATGTCCAGCATGATCTCCAGGCCATTGCCGGTGCCCCCCTTCATGGTGATGAGCCGGGGCTTCCCGTCCTGCCCCGCATTGAAGGTGTAGCACTTCCCATAGCGGGTGAAGACCTGCAGGAGAGGACATGGGGCTGAGACTGGGGCCCCTCTGCCGGCACCAAACTGCTGCCAGCGCCACAGCATGGAGCCAGGACGGCATCACCAGCCCCAAACACAGCTGTCCCCAGCCTGGGGGTACGATCCGACCCAGGCTCCTGTCCTTCGGGGTGTCTCTCACTGTTGGAACTGCCCATCTTTGCTCCAGTAGAGGAGGAAATGTTCCCCACGAAGGCACAGGGATGGCATGGACTCGGAGGAGACACTTCGCAGATTTACAGCACCTCGACCCCACAGACCCCGTGGCAGCCCCAGTTCCCTGAGATGGCGGTGCTCAGCCCTACGCCTGCACCAGCGCCTCCTCCAAGCCCCCCTCCATCCCTGCAGAGGACGGGGCTGGATGGGATCCTGAACCCCCCCGTCGCTCCTCGGCCATTCCAGCTAACGCCTCCGGCAGCTGGCATGTCTCCACGCCGCTGAGCTGCTGCCAGCCTGGGCAAGGGGCATGTGAGGCCAGTGGGCTGCAGACTGCACGGTGCCCCGCGGGCGGTGGTGATGCCGGGATGGAGGAGCCAGGCACCTCCTCTGCAAGCACAGCCCTGGGGCTGTTCTCCATGTCCTGCCAGCGGGTCTCCGCAGCCGGTGCCGTCCCCAACGCCAGCGAGACGCCCAGGTGCCGGTGGACAGGGCTGAAATATCAGCTTGTCCCTGAGCGAGCGGGCAAGGACAGCATCGCCCACCATGCCTGATCCGACACGATGCCGGCCGGAGCTGCTCCCCATGCCTGGCCACCTTGGGGCTACTCACCGCCGCGAAGTCGCCGGGGCCACACTGCTCGCCCCGGTAGCTGCAGCTCAGCAGCATGTCCTCCAGCTGGTGGCAAGTGCGGTTAAAAAACCTGTACAAATTTAGGGGCTCGTCCTCATCCCCGGGGCTGGGCTGGGCTGGGGTGAAGCCCAGCTCCATCCCAGGCTCGTAGTCGACCAGGGGGGCCAGGTAGAGCAGGTCCTCATGGCTAAGCTGCGAGACCCGCACACGGTTGATGTTGCAGAAGGTGATAGCAGGGAAGGTCATCTTGGGGCTGTCCTCCTCGCTGAGCAGCGTGATGTGGTGGTACTCCAGGTAGTAGACAATGCGGTCAGCCACCTGGTAGAGGAAGACGGAGAGGGAGAGGAGGAAGGCCAGCGCCCAGAGCGCCTGCCGAGCGCCCAGGCTGCCCTCCACAAAGATGTGGCTCAGCCCGTGCAGCGTGCAGCTGCTGGCAAAGGCCACAAAGTCCGTGGCTGCCCCCGCATCCTCCTCCTCCTCTTCATCCTCCTCCTGCCCATACAGGAACTCATCTGCTCCATCCTCTCCCCTCCCAGTGGCTGCAGCATCTCTTGGTCCTTCCTCGCTGGAGAAGGAGATGGTGCAGAATATCTGGAGAGGCATTGTCCAGCGTGGGGGTCCCAGCTGCAGCGTGGAGGTCCCAGCTCTGGCGTGGGGGTCCTGACCCCCACCCTGCCACAGCCTGGGGGTCTTCGACGGTGGGTCGGTTCCTCGGGGTGTGAGTGAGAGGGGCTGGGGGAGAGCAGAGAAGGAGGAAGGGGCAAGTTCAGAGAAGAGAAACGGAGAAGGGAAAAGGAGCGAGAGGCAAGCGGGAGTGAGGGAGAAGAGCAGAGGGATGCTCAGAGGGGACGGAGAGAGGAGGGTATATCAGGAGCCGGGAGGAGGAGAGGAGGAGCGAGGGGCGGTTCTGCGGGCTCCCCAGGTCCCCCGGGACCAGCCGGCTGCTGCTGGCAGGACGGAGCAGAGACGTCGCCAGCTCCAGAAGCACCGACATGTTGGGAGCTCCTGGTGCTGCCTGGGGGGCCTGAGGGGCTGCCGGGTCTGGCGAACACGGGTGTGCACGGGTGTGTGTGCAGGCACTCGGTGTGCTGCGTACCCACACCGCATCCTCCATCCTCACTGTGGGGCAGCACGGCCCTGGCAGCCCGACTGGCTGCTCCAGCCAGGCCCTCCCCGCCGGGTGCCAGGCTGTTTCTGGAGCCACCATATGCCGGGCTCTCTGGGCTCTTCATCAGGGCAGCTGGAGCCAGAGGTTTTCCCAAAATGCTTGTGACACCGTCCTGCTGCAGCGCCCGCCCAGGCAGTGCCAGTGAGGGCAGAAGGATTCTGTGATGTCCCCAAGCTCTCACGGTGCTCATCCTGCCCTGGCAGCACCCGTCCCTGCAGGCTCATCTCCCCGTGCCGCGGGGCAGGAGCATGTGCACAGGGGCACCCGGCGAAGGCTATGTCCTGCGTGGTGCAAGGTCCGTCCTCCTCCAAGCCAGGGCTGCTTTTGGCAGGATTTGAGCGCTGCCATGGCTCAGGTGATGATTCTTTCTGCAGAACCCAGCCACTGCGCGGTGTGTCACCTCGTGCTTCCGATCCCTGTGGGGCACAGGGAGCCACCGCTTCCCCCGGGGGACGGCGTCCAGGCCTCGTGCTGCTGAGCTGGCTGGGGCTGGGGGTCCTGGGGAGGCAGCCCTGATGCAGGGTGGTGGGATGGAGCCGGCGGCCAGACTGGCTGCCGGGAGCAAAGGCGACTCCTCCCTGCAGCCCTGCAGCACCCCTCCCTGGCCCTGCAGCAGCACAGCCCCTTCTTGCGGTTTGCTATTTTCCTGCACTCAGCACTTCATAAAAGCATCTGATGCGACCACAGAGCAATCTCCAGCCCCATCCCAGCACCGCAGCCGCCATCGCCGGCCCAAGGGGACAGGGAGCATCTAAATATGGCAGCACTTTGATGCACAAGAGCTGGATGGGAGGTTTTGGCCGATGCCCGGGTGCGATGAGCATGCCCTAGCCTGCTGCTTTGGCTGCTGTGGCTCCTTCCCCGCATGCAGTGCAGGGCCCCGGTCCCTGACCACATCCCGGCTCACGGATATGGGCACCACCAAACCGGGCGAACAAATGCAACCAGGAAAATTGTACAAATCTGATCTGATACCGTGCAAAGTTATCTGCTCTTCCTGAGCAAGTGATGCTGGTGTAATGGGCAGGGTGTGCACTGGGGATCCCTGCCAGGGCAGACTCAGCCAAGATGATGACCGATGATGTGACGGGGGGTTGTCCCTTGAGAGGCCGTCCTGGGGTTCCCCAAGCTCAATATTCCCAATAGAACTCTTGTGTAAGAGGGATGCTGGCAGTTGCCACAAAGCTAGGGATGCTGTCAGCACCTGGGAGAAAGGGTGGGTGACCTTGGGGACGAGCACCAGAGCCACGGGATGAAATTTCATAAAGCTGAGAGCAAGGTCGCGCCTTTTGGGAGCAACCCAGAGAGTCTGAGCTGGAAACTCGTCCTGGGAAATGGGACCAGGGAGGCGGATTGGGTGGCTGGGAGCCACCATGCCATGGGGACCAGGTCACATCCCGGCCCTTTGCCTTTGATGGAGACGAGCTGCAGCTGCACCGTGGGCAGGGCTGGGCTATAAAGGCATCAGGGCTTCACCTGGGTGGGGGTTTGGGGGCATTGGGCTGGCTTAGCCTGGTGGGGGCAAGCTGGGAGGATCACACACAGACCGGTGCTAGAGGATGCTTTTGGCAGAGAGCAAGCAGGTACTGGCTGAGGTCGGGGTGGGATTTCTGGTGTTCCCCTGCTCTGGGACAGGGAGTTTCTGTGCAATGTCTGTAGGAGGGAGAGGAGAAGAAGGAAGATGGAAGAGAAGCCTGAGGGGGTTTGTTTAGCCCTGGCAGGGCACTGACAGGTGAGTGGTGCTGCCTGGGACCCTGTGGGACAGTCCCTGATGGTGTGAGTGAGGGGCTGATCTGATCCTATGGCATGGGGAGGTTTAACGTGTCTTCCTGGGAGCAATTGCAGCAGGGAGAGGGAGATGCTGTAATGAAAACACTCCATCATCAGCTGGGGCCATTAACCTGCCTTGCTCGGCTTAAACAGCTTGCAGAGAGTGCCAGGGCTGGTTCCCAGCAGCCGTGCGGGGCGGTGAGGATGAGCGCTGCCCCGGCTCCGGTTACCATCGCCTGTCCCAGAGCTGACACTCGAGCCGGGGTGAAGGTGACCGGGGATGGTCACAGCCAGGAGCACGGGGGCGC